TCTTTTTTATGTACCTCCATTACTCTTTTATTTTACCTCAAAACTGCTCAATCGGTTCTGCTCCACCCTGTATATTGAGAGGTTGATAATTGATATTGTATTGACCTTTTAGGTAATTAGAAAGATTTTCCACCCTAATATGAGTACGGTATTCTAATTAAAATATTTAATTTCAATCTTTGAATATGTGAATTTAAAACTAGAAACAAAACAATTACAATTATAAGACTGCATATAAAATAATTAAATGCAGTAAATGGATATAAAATATTTGAATTGTGCACATGTTTATTTCAAACAGTGTTAGCTTTTCTCATAACTTAAGTCTACGACACAACTTGAATTGGACACACACAGATCGTTCCAAGCTTTGTACAAAAATTGAAATTTGCTTAATTAAAAGCCTAATAGCTGTTAATTAAAATGTAATTTAGTAGTGTTCAATATTCATTAGTGTTCTAATTCAAAGCCGTGTTGTATCCCAATACAGCTCACACAGCAAACAGAATTTGAATACGTTGATGTCGGCATTACCGTACGTATCAGTTAAATTTGAAGCGCTGACGCAATACGACTCACCACGTGTCGAATATTACCACACACAGTGACGGAATATAGGGATTTGGTAGGTTTCCATTCTAAAGGCTTTTTAATAAATATGGCAACATTTTGTGATGTTTCATCATTGCTGACGCGTAGTGAAGGGTTTTGAGAGTCACGTGAAGGCAACAGAACTTACGTAACGCATACGTTTTTTTTATAGTTTTTCATTTCTTGATGCGTCCTTAATGTGTCGGAATATACCGCGTTTACCCTACTTTGCTTGTCTACTTAATTACTTATAGGACTCAAAAATGAACTTGAGGGAGAGTCTAAAAAAACTCTCTGCTTTGCCACTATGGATTAGGCATCAAGTATGGACTTGATGGTATATAGGTATATCAAACAGCCTGACCTAGCCTGATTGACTGATTAGGCCATAGTAACAAACCAGAGATTTTGTAGAATCAGTTAATTTTTAATTTCCTCATTTACTCAAGATTTAAACAATTTATTATGTATGATAATGCTGGTATCCATGATACTTTGCTTGTCTACTTATAGGACTCAAAAATGAACTTGAGGGCGAGTCTAAAAAACTCTCTGCTTTGCCACTATGGATTAGGCCTAGATTACAAATTGAAAAATTAGGCATACTGCATTATGAGAGAAGAAAAATCATGCTTATGAACAATTTTCAATCTATAATAGCCTATTTACCTAAATTTTCCAAAAATCCTTATCTCATATAGGGCCAATCTGCCAATGTATGTGTGTGTGTATGTATATATATGAATATGCATGTATGATCTTATATATAATTTTTTTTCATTTCAATGTGCAGATTTTCCTCAAGCCATTGGGGTAACCACTTTTCTTCAATAAATAAATAAATGTTGGTCAACAAATCATTTCATGAGTGATTTTAAAAATAGTATTTTTTTTCATTATTTTTTAATAAATGAATTAATCAAGGGCTACTTGAACAGGTAAAATTAATTACAATCATATGAATTTTCATCTCGTATACAAATTATAGGTGGCTGCTTTGAACTTTGGAGCGATTTTTCATCAACGAGTTTTTGATTTTGAATCATATAATTTATTCGAAAAAATAATGAATGCACACAGCTATTCTATAGGGAAATTTCCGTTCACTGCGGCGGTTCTAGCCTCAAAGCTCTCAGCTCTCTGAGCCTCTCTCACACTCACAGTCTCACATACTCAAAGTTTTACTTCTGCAACCATTTCAAGGAACGAAACGAAGTAATACGATGTCGAGGTTTTCAGGAGACCGCCACAATCCGCAGTAACAGAAAACCTAATACCACCAATTCCAACAGAAAACGAAACGTCAAAAATGACTGCATATATTTATAAATTTTCATCGCAGTGAGTTGAAAATATCATGCAGAATAATCATGTAAAAAAAATTTTTAGAGCCTAAAGACATGATTCTTGAAAACAATGTGAATAATTTGCTTGATTTCTTTTAACTCTCTTCAACCTTTCATTACTTGATATTCATCATACTAACGCTAATCATGAACTATTCGGTCGGTAAATTCTCTGTAGTAGATTCACAAATTTCGGTAATGATCCTGTAACTTTTCAGTATTGACACATTGTTTAAATGAAGGAGTACCTAATAAAGGTGACGATGGACTTCATTTTTGAAAAATTCTAGGCAGGAAAATAGCAGCATTGCGATTAGATCTAAGCTCTCATCTTTCCCATGGTAATGCCTATGAAATACCAGATGACTTAGTTACCTCTATAAATTCGGCAATAGGTCAAGTTAAGTTGTACTTCTATTCTATTATTGGTATCGGCATTTTTAAAACAGATTTAATGCTCATATTTCGACGAGTTGTTGGTCGGCAAGCATATCTTGTGTCTACTTAAAATTTCAAACGCCTATGGTTTCATTTCACAATCTAGAACCTCTTCAACTTGATTAAATTAATGGAATGAAACGAGAGTTGCGTTTTCAGTTAAAAATATTTATTCATGAATACTTCAATGCAGGTGGCACAATTATGAGTCATGGCCTATTGCTTCTTATAATACAAACCTAAAATAAATTAGTTTTTATAGATCTAATACAATGAACGGAAACAATTTAAATTTATTCATCAACATTAGAAATGGTAAGAAAGTAACTTTATCTGCAATTTGTGTTAAATTTGAAAGAGTAATTAATAAAAAATAAGATCGCATTAAATAATACAATACTTAGCTCTTCGACATTCTCAATAAACGACATATACAGAATAACAATCATTTAAGCGCTTTTAGTTGTTCCAGAAGAGAATCTATAGTAATCGTATCGAAGCTGGTGGATGTGTCGACAGAGTGAGACTCGGACGCCAGAGAGTTCCTTCGTGGGTCAACGGTATGACCGCTTCTTGAATAAGACTGAGTGAACGGCTTCCCTCCTACGGCATTAGACATTTCCCTGCCTCCTCTCACTGATATTCTCGTTACTGAAGAGGGTAAATTCCGATCGTCGTTGTCGGCGAAACTTTCTGATGAACATCTTGGGCGAGAATAACCTAAGTTTCGCGGTACACTCCTCCAAGACGATGTGAAGTTTGGACTGTTCAATGATTTAGATGGACCAGCTGGAGCAACAGAAGACTGAGCAGGTAGAGAGGAAAGGAAATCAGTGAAGGTTCCTAGCGTACTAACAGCATGGTGTTTGCTTTCACTGCGGTCAATAAACCGTTCTCGTGACGTTTTAAAATTTTTTATCTGTGGGACCGTTTCACCTCTATCACTTTGCAAGATTCTTTCGAACTCCCAATCACTGACAATTTTTTCGACGGCGCATGTTCTGCGAATATTGCACTTGGTTTCAAGAGATCGATCCGTCCCTTCGTAAGCCTTCAGTAGGCCTGGGACGTCCCCGCTTACTATAACGCTTTTCTTTATGCCTTGGGGAAGCGATGCTGTTTGCGGCATAGCGGTAACGGGTAGGCGAATATGAGGATGCTGCTGAGGAACAATATTACGAGAACAACGGTCTGGATAATCGTAGGAATCATCAAATTCTGAGAGATTTTGGTATGAATTCCGGAGATATTTATTTCTTAAAATTGGGGTTTCATCCGTGACTTCAGAGTCCGAAGCATTCCCGCTAGATTTGTTTCGCGTAGAAAGACTGGCACTTTTCTTACTGATACTCCAACCCTCTTCTTGTGATGCACTAGACTCGGACTGGCTAGCAACACCCGGCAAGTTTATGCTTCGGTGAAGAGGCTGTTCATACGTATACTTGTTCACAGGATGTGGGAAGCGCTCACCTCGACCAGGGGCCGTGACGCTAACACCACCATGAAGTTCATTGCCTCTGGTTGCAGTCAGCCCAGCATGCTGACGCTGTGAGTTACGAGGGATGCCAGGTTCAATGCGGTATCCAAAACCAGGTTGAATAACTTTAGAAGCTATTTCCGTATTCTTAGGGCGTTTATTTGAGGCTGCTTCAGGGGAATTTTCCCAGTGGCCGTCGCTAGAAAATGATCGAGCTAAAGTTGGTTCATTGCAAGCGTTCCTGGGGGTAGGAGGATTGGTTCCTTCAGCCTTCGGCACATCACCGCCATTTCTGAACGAAATATTTGATGAACCTGATAATAAATGACGATTATTCGAAGGAATTGTTTGAATGCGACTTGTGACACTTGAACTTGGTGAATGAGTAGTAACTTGAGACCGCTGGGTTGCTGCACTCGTTCCTCCTTGAAGAAGCGAGCTGCTATGATGTGTATAAAGCGGGGGGATACCAAGAGTGTTTTGGCATTGGTCTGCACGAGTGTAAGTTGAATGCCTGTAATCTTTGTCCACGCCAGCACCGATAACAGGAGTAGAGCCAGGAGCTGTGCGCCGATGGCTGGCACTAAGCGACGGATGACCGCGGTACACTGTAACGGTCTTGTACTCTAGTGTTGGAGTAGCAACGATGCCTGAAAAATAAACGAGAAATGTTGCCAAATAGCCACAGAAAATTCATTAGAATTCAAACTTTAAACATTTTAGGGAATCTATCTGAAAATTGCTGAAAGGTATTTCATGTTATTTACAAAATTTTATTAAGTATTGAAGGACAAAACATATATTCTGAAAAAATTAATAATAGTTACCTGAACTCCAATTGACAGCATAGCAAATAAATGTTAGTATTTAAGCACAAATAGTTAGCTGCTTGGTTGAGGTAAGCCAGCTAAAAAAGTTACATTCGCGTTATTTTCATCGAAAAATTAGCGCATAGAAAATGATTTCTTTTTAAAGATTCATAGCAAGAATTGAGTAATGTTGAATTAGCAACACCCGGAGCCCAAAGCAAATGCCAAGTTCAGTAGAGAGGAAACATTCGGTATTGGTGACAGCCAATAGTGCAATGTGTACGTAAATGTTTATTTTAATAAAAAGACACATGAGGGTTAGGAAAGAAAGAGAGACCGTACTTGTATAAATAGTTTAATGCCATGTTTCAACACAATAAGTCTGTATACGTATCTTGCCTATGTTACAACACTTGTCTCAGCTCGAGTCTAACATGCATGGAAGTTTCCTGTAGAGAATTAGTCAGAATAGAAGAATGATCACACTTCCTCTCGCTGAAAGTAAAAAGGTCACTACGAGTTCATATTTAATGCATTACATTACGCATGTAACGAACTGCCAGTGATGATTGTGCTAGGTAAGGTGATCTCTACATGAAAATCCACGCATGCAAGACATGATTTCAACGATCGCACTTGGCTGGAGATGATCAGAGCTGTAATTGTGCTTGTTTTCCCAAGGCAAAATCGCATGTTAGCTGGATTCACCGACGATGTACATCTGAAGCGGAGTTTTATCAGCAGCTGAACAAATTAGGATATCTATTAACAAATTCTTAAATCGTACTTGAACGGGGTTAGATTTTATGTTGACAAATTCAATGGGCCAATCAACAAAAAACAGACATTAAATTAAAAATTTATATTCCCGTGCTTGTAATTGAAAAATGTAATAATAATTAGTCTCTTTCCGTGATCATTTGTGAACGGAGGTTAATTTTGAAAACCAGTGTATCTAAGTACGGAAAACTGGCACACAAGATAAAAATATCGTCAATAGCCGAAAACGATTTACATTTCAGCCTATATTTCTTTCATCATCGTAGAATGCTAATAACCTCTACGGTAATGGCAATCATCGGATCCTTGCGATACAAGACTAAAGTTTCAATTGTTCTCAAACGAGTACGATAAATTCGATGCATCGAAACAGATCGTAAAGAGGAGTTACTCAGGAAAGTGATGGTTACCAGGAAATTTGAACAGCCACCGGAATATCGACAGGGCGATGGAAAAGTAGACGAGAAGGAAACCTCGCTCGAGATTTCTTTACTAGGATAGAGCTTTGTCTTGGCTTGATAGCCTCAAAAGTTATTATTGACTTCGTGAATAGTTTAATATTGTGCGCAACTTGAGGATTATAGTGAGCTCTGTCAGGAAAACACACTTCAGTAAATTATGTTCATGTCAAAATTAATGCTGAGAAACAAGATCCTAGCAATTCCTGCCATTTACTCTCGCAAAAATTATCGCATATAAAGCATAAAAATGTTTTCTTGAGCTTCAAATATGTAAATTATTCTATGAACAGAGAATTTGCCGGTCAAATATTTAGGGCTGTGAAGAACAGCTACGAGCCGAAGCACAGTTTCACTTTACAGACAACATGACTAGAGTTTAGAGTTTTTAGTTTGGCACACAATAATCAAATACCACGAAAACATTATAAGCATCAATATTAAAGATAACAATAAAAATTACAGCTAGACAGAAGCAACAGAGCGTTCCTGGGAAAGAAGGGTTGGATGCTGACACTAAAGGATGAGCATAACATTTACGCACAAAAGAGATGCGTTTGATTATTTTTGTGCAAAAATATAGCCAAGGATGGGCGGCTTAGCTAAGTTATGTGTTGCTGTTCAAGGTGGTAGTGACAAGCATCTCGCTCGACATTAACTAACTCAGTTTTTGATGCATCAGAGTACAAGAAGCTAATCTTCATAAATGCAAAGCTCAGAACACCGATCAAATATAACGAGAGCATTCGTTGCCCCGCGTAGAATTTCTGATCGGTGTTAAACAAATGTAATCAAATACTAGAAGCTGAGCTAGGAGATGCACAGGAAAGCATTGTCTCCACAAAGAAGCCTTATTGTAATTCTAAGATTCAGCCACCAAATGAATTTTGTTCCAGAAGGAACCAACAATCTTTTTACCAACATAAATCATAATTTCAATACAACCAACAAATAGAACTTTAAACACGTAAGAAAAAAATTAATTTGTTTAAAACTGATTGGGAAGAACGGCATAGGCCGTCCAACCGACTTAGAACCGAAGAGTGCGTTCGGAGTATAGTGGCTCCAACCTTAAACGCATTGCTTCTATCCTAACCTAAAGAGTCTAGGAAAAGTAGCAGGGACAGCACAGAGAACACAGTGTGACTCTAGGCTCGAGAAGAATGAAGAGCATCAATAACAGCCGTAGGAGCTAAAACTATGTACAATAAGCGACCTTAGAGTTACACATCTCGACACGTAAACGCCTCGCGACCAACTGAGATAACTCGCTGCCCCTCAAACCATACTATCAATACAAAGCAAATTAGCGTTCCAGCTTAACGGTCACAAACAGAAGCGCGACAGAGTGCATTTGTATCGAGGCTTCATTGTCCTTTTGTGAGTTATTGTCTCAAAGTTGCATTAAAACGAGTGATGGCCGCCAACAACGCTTTCGCTATACGCCAATAACGTACACAAGGACAAGAGACAAAAGTTCTGGCAAAAAATCCTATGCTTCAGAAATTGGTTTCAGTTCTCACATTACTATATTTGGATAGTCAACGAGCAGCGAAGTTTGTCGCAAAAATATTACACAAACACCGAAATTGTCTCATTTGACGTGAGCAAGCCCAAGAACAATAATTAAGGGCCCTCGAGCCTGACAGACAAACAGAGTGGCAGTCGAATGCCGTCGACAACTTCTTTGAACATACGATCAGGGGTAGCATGTTAATATTATTCTCAATAACAGTATAGTTACCACGGGACATTTCCACATTTATTGCCTTCAAACACCAGAGGGGTATATTCTCGCGATTTGAGTATAACTAAGAAGGTCATGAGAAATAAGTTTCCAGAAGACGCCACAAATTGATCGCATTTCTTACTATCAAAGAACGAGATCATACATAATACTAATAATAGAGATTCGAAGCAAAGCATTGTCAGGGTAAGGGCCACGCACGGCTTTAGGAAATCCACGACCAAAATAAAAATGAGAGAATTGAGATATTGCACGCTGCTCGTACATAATGCAGTCGCTCTAATGAAGAACATCGCACACAATTAGAGATTCATTCGGTGTAATAATAAGCCATAAAATTGTGGCAGAACAGCTTGGCATCGTTGAGGGCAATATAGGTTCGGTCAACGCCAGCGATGCTTGGTGGATGCTTGGGTGGAAAGGCTTCCTAATATTTCCCCATTTAAGGTCGACATCGCATAAGGTAGCAAGGGACAACTAAAGCGGCAACCTCAACGAAAGCATTGGAAAAGGGCCTTAGACTCTGAGTAAATTTACGGAAACTGTCTAAGCTCAAATAGTTTTTTCTCGGAAAGAGACGTTGCGGCTGAAGACAATGATGTTCTACGTAGGATAAAGCATTATATAACTATATTAAAAATTGCAGTCGAGATTTTAAAGGATAATTAAATATCTGTCATTTCGATATTCCTCCCACTGAAGAGCCAGGAGCTCACGTTTGCACTTATATCTAACACCACATTCATTCTAGCGCCACGATGTTCAATACGAATAACCTAACAGTAACCTTATTAAAATGAATCTCATGAAAGCAATTAGAGAAAATTAGATTTCAACAACAGTTTGACAAATCGCGTCTTCATAACACTAGTATAATAATATCAAAGTGACTCTTTTTCTTTACAGATTAGACATGAGCAGGAGCAGCCGACGAGCAAAAGTGTAGCAAAGGCGCTCAAGAAAAGTACGGCATGGCATTAAATCGCCTCAGACACTTTTGCACGCCAGTTGTAGTATTACTTTGTATTCTAATCAATTCTAAAGCATTGAAGTGCTACGCAATTGTATTAAGAATTATCAACCAACGCCGGGATCTCCATGTCAGATTCTTCGTCAAAAGATTAGTAGAATTGTAGACAAGAGGCGCAATGTCGCGTTGAGGATGCGTAGTGCGTATGATGGGAGACGCCGTTTGTGCTGCTCCGGCACAAGTTATCAAGTGAGTCTTAAAAGGTAGAATATATATCATGGTGATGAGTTGAGCGATTGGAATGTCATGAAAGCAAGATGAAGAGACGATGATGGCAGAGAATCAGCAATGGAGTGTTTTGGTTGAGCCTTGTAGAGAATGCGGCTGATGTTTATTGTATCCAGTGTTGCTTATGTTGCCTCCAATGCTGCCGCTCATACTGCCGCTGATGTTGGCACCGCTACCTCTCTTGCCTTCCGAGTATCGGTGCTCTTCTCCCCTCCCGAAGGTGTTGAAGGTCTTTCCGGCGCGAGGGAGTGTCATACTTTCATTACCGGGGTCACGATCTGGCCCTCCTCCGGGAGCGGTAGCCAAGGACGTGCTGCTGCCGCGGTTCGAGAAGTTCTCACGGGGCTTCCATACCGGAGAACCTTTAGGAAACGAAGATTAAGGAAAATCAGTATATTTATTTCACAGCATTAATTTTTATTACATGCGTGAAATCAAATATTATGAGGTCCAACAAAACAAAGAGAATAATCTTCATGAGAACGCTTTCGTAAATAATGGATTCGAGTATGTAATTATTACAGAATGAAGAATAATATATATCAGTGGAGACGGGACAGGTACCTGGTTTGCTGTTGCCCTTGGACTGGTAGCTGCCAGGAGTGTTGGAGGCCTGAATGAGTTTGGCCTGAGAGCCCGTGGATGCTGTGGACAGCGTTGACGAGGTCGACAATGAGAGATGATTTGGGGTGCGACCTAGCGTGGCTCTACGGCGACTTTCAGCGCCACTCAGGATATCATCTTCTTCCATGTCCGACCTCGGCACCGAGTCTCGTCCAGAAGCACCTCTCTGTCGGGAGCTGCTGCGGGAGGATGTGTCTCCTCCACACAAAGAGGTGCGGTCGTGAGGCCGATCGCCACCTGAACTCCCACGACCGTTGCGGTAACGCTCTCCGGAACCGGGCGCTGCTCTTTCCTGGACTGATCTTTCAGTGACACTCGATCGATCACTTCGGTCGGAACGATCTTGAAAATGATTGTTGTTAGGCCGATGACCAAGCTCGGTGTTACTGGATTGATGTTGTTGATACTGTTGCTGTTGTTGCTGATGCTGCTGCTGCTGTTGATGAGGAGGTGGAGGCGGCGGTGGAGGAGCCAAGTCACTCTTGGTAGTGGAATCACTTTGCTCGTCTGAAGAGATTGACGGAGGGAGGCAGCACCGCAGCGGCAGCGAGAGGTTGGAGGAGGAAGTGGAGTTTTTGGAGTTGCGAGGCAGTATTGAAGGATTCAGTGCCGTACTTTTTTTTAAGTTGGAAGCGAATGGTATCAGTGCTAAGTGATGTGCGGTGATGTGACTAAGCAGTGTAACGAGCCTCAATGAGTGAGTTCGAGCATCATCGAACTGAAGAGAAAAGTAATGACGCTTCTACTAATTCGTTAGCAAGAGTAAATTTAAATGAATTGAAATACATGCATTTTGCACAAACGAATTTATTTGTTACGCAAAACAAACTAAGCGAAAACTGGTATACGTGAAGTTGAAGGTATACGAACAAAAGTGAAACAAAATCACAGTTATTTTAACTTGATGTTAGTGTCCTATGCCCAACATATGCATTACACTTAAAAAAATGAATGCGTACACAAAGTTCATGGAAATTGTGATGTTACCAGGCAGCTATAACAAAACGAAAACGATAAGAAGCAGATCTATAAATGCGATGTAAATCATATATCAACGATACAACTGTACTCATCGTCAGTCAACTAATTACTATCAAAATAAAATAATGCAGGAAATTTTTTTCCATAGCTAGCCCGACTGTGTGTACGGAATTAGTTGCGCAATTCAATAAGCAGGATAAATCGGGACGATGTTACCAGAATAACAATACTGAAGAGAGTACCATATATTAGCTCAGTACTTGACCACGAGGAAACGACTCACAGGCCGCGTTAACACAAGAAAATCACGTGAATAACAGCAAACCTCGAGTGTTTTTATTACATTATCATTGGAATAAGTGGCAAGAAGGTGGTATAGTAATAACACGTTCTTTGAGCGCAGCCATGGAAAGTTTTCTTCGAAATGAGCCGAAAATATGTTCCTACACTGACTTTCAACCATGAAGTCCTACTGAATAAATTTTATAACAAAACGGTACGAATGAAGAAAGCAAATAAAAACACAGTAACCTACAAAAACGGAAAGCTTAGCGTGCAACCTTTACACCAATGTAATAAAGAAGTATTTATCAACGACCATTTTATACAGAGACTATCATGAAGATGAGGCAGCATAATTATTGTTCATTAGTCAGTTATGCTAAGCATTTGGAAAGTTATTTCAGCACACAAATTTCCGAGAGTTAACAGAAAACATCGTCTCCTCGTTAACTGCTAACCATTTAAAAATCTAGTCTTTCATAAAAGTTATTAGTGAACAGCTTCACAGAGAACAATGCATTCATAAGATGAGAAGTTTTTTGTTTAGTTCGGAAAAAGCTTGTTTTGAAAGGGAAAATTCTCAAAGAAAGTTTTCGGAGACATTTTGATAGATGTAAGATTTCCACGAGAAAAGTTTTCAATAAATTATTAATCATTCAATGCCATCAAGAAGCGGCACTCAATATTAGATGGAACTCACCGGTAGCATCGGACCCTGTCTTGCCCCAGTTCCTGTATGCCCCGTTCAGCTCATGTTGCTGCTGCTGCTGGGGGAGATGCCCATTACGCTGCACCTCATGCCCGTTATGGTGGGGCTCGTGCCCGTTGTGTTGCGTCTCTGGCACGTTATCGTAGCTCTCCAAGTTGCTACCGTAGTCCATGACGCCCGTTGAGTGTCGCTGCAGGGACGTTGATTGGTTCCTGAGGGAGGAATAAGGCTTGTGAGGAAAATGAACTTCCATTGTGTGACCGTTTACGACTGAGAAATAAGTTAGGCAACTATCTTAGGCGAGTTACGAGTGTATTTTATGTTATAAGATCCAAGCGGTAATGAATAAATTACCGCATGTATCTCAATAATATGGCATTGATGGACTGCTGGCCTTTCATTTGATAAAAAAAATACTTAGTGGGTGACTATTGGAACATTTAAAAGCCAGTTTCTGAAACCACGAGAGAAAAGCATGTTTGAATCATAACATTATCAGTATACGTTTGTTATGTGGCTTCTCACATCTGCTGCTGCTTGCGGCGACCTCCAGCAGAGCGGTTCGACTGCAGGGTGCTGGTATTCATTTGCCTACTGCTGCTGCTGCCACCACCGCTGCTGCTACCGATGCTGCCACCACGGCTGCCACCGCTACCACCACCGCTGGCGCCACTGCCACCGCCATCCTTATCACCCGCGGAGCCCTTGTTAGGGATGCTCATGTTGCGTACGGACTCGCGGATGATCTGACGGATGGTCTTCAGGAACGCGTTGCGGAACTCGGACGTGCTGTCAGTGAAAAAAATTTTATTAACTTGACATAATAGTTTGCGAATAAAAACGTAAACTTGAAGTAACTTGGTCGTATTGATTCTATAATAAATCTCAAGACAAGCAATTTGAACTTAAAATTGAAGAAAATACTTCCGTTTAAATGAAAACTAAAGCTGAGAATTTCGGGGACCAAAGTATGCATATAAAAACTTAAAAAGTGCATCGAAATTATTTCAATGACGTCACTACACAGATTTTTCATTCTCTTAGTTGATCGAACAAGAAATATTCTAATTACCAATGACATATTCCAGTCAAAAATCCATTTTCCATTATTAAAACCACACTTCATTTACAAATAGTTAAATATGAATCGATAGCAAAACTGATAAAATAATTTCGAAAATTTACTCAGTAATATTTGATAATAATCAGATTTATTCAAGTTGCTTCATATTTATCGTCTGCCTCATTAACTGAACATAACTGAAGATTGTGTTTCAGGAAGCGAGCGTGTATTAAGAACCTGTTACTGAGGTGATAGACTTTCTCTGAGCGTCGCTGCAGTTTTACAATAATCAGATTTATTTTTTTCCTAATTCACTTCATATTTATCGTCTGCCTCATTAACTGAAGATGGTATTTCATTAAGCAAGCGTGTATTGGTAACCTGTTACTGAGGTGATAGACTTTCTCAGAGCGTCGCTGCAGTTGGTTCTTGAGGTGGATGAGCTCCCAGAGGAAGTGGCTGTCCATGTCCTTCATGGACGACGCCCTCACCTGCACCTCCGTCACCGGAATCAGCACCTGGTACCTGATGATCTCCACCTCCGCCGAGTTGTTCTTGCCAGACCCGCCGCCCTGTGGATATAACGATAATCTCTTCATAAATTCAAATCAAACGGGCAATGCAATTCTTCCCAGACCCGCCGCCCTGCAGACACCAACGAGAATCTCTTCATAAATTCAAATCACAAGGGAAATGCAAATAAAAATATCAATAATATCCTGCGCTAAAAATATGAAAAAATTAATTATCATGTGTATAGTGGATATAATGGAGATAAAAATGAGGAGATATTCATCAGATACCTTGAACAGATGGTAAGTATAGATTAATCGCATACAACTCTGAAAAATGGTGAATAATGTTAATTGTACATAACGTTAATTGATTTAAAAGCAAAAATAACTTGATCCACGAATTCTACGCAAGCCGTAATAAGCTTTCCCTTGAATCGTCTGAATATATGGCTGTAGCTGTTAACGCAATGTGTTGTCATAACTATCATTTTATCTTCACTATGAAGTGAAGAAAGACCAAGAACTAATAGAATGTGAACTGGAAAAATAATGATAAACATCACAAAACTGACCATGAGCTTCTTCTTCTGTCGTAGTCTCTCTTTGCAAAGGAAGACTACGGCGGTTTTGAAGACGAAGCACATGGCGTGGAGTTCGAGTCCTTTCTTTATCTTGCCCAGGAAGTCAGAGATGTTGAGCCACTCCACTCCACCGTAGTACAAAAGGTCTCCCAGCGACAGGTCTACGGGCTGTAATATTGAAGAAATTAATATTTATTGTTCATCATTATCTTGGAAAACGACAAGAGAACACCAATCGCACGGCTTGATAATTAAATCTTGAGTTGGAGATAAAAAAAAATAATTCTGGTCGTATATTGAAATGTACGTTTGAATTAAAGTAAATTCTATTGTCTGAGTAAGCCTACATGATGTTAAAACCCAGTTCACAGACCAGCTGAGCAACACTATACGACAGTCCCTAATAGCGGTTTTTGATACAACGCTCATGCAAACGGCGGCGCGCTTTTTGACCTTTTATTATAACAATTGGTTCTAAGAATACTAGGAATTGGCATGCAAAAACTTAAACCAAAAATCTTCCTCGATAGCTGTAGTGATTCATGTCATATTTACATAACTCATCAAATGCATCACTGAGAACGAACGATACGTGCATTTCTGTACAAATTAGAAGTGAATTTTACAGTAAAATTATTGTGCGATAATTGAAGCCTGATAAGACAGGCTTAGTTTGAGAACGAATTCATATAATTTGGTGCCTTCAATCGTGCATTATGTCAAACTATTTACTGCAATCAGATAAAAAAAATAACACATAATGACCAAACTTGGCGTGACTACAGAAGAATTTGCGGTCAGAATGCCGGAAAACGTGCGCGGTAAAATGACGCAATCGTTTTACTGCAAGGTTTTCTGGAGCTTGAGCACACATGTACGAGGTTAAATAAGAAGCATGCAATCGCCACAAACGATTTTGAAAATGAGACCAAGTGCGAGGGTGAATTAAGCAAAGTTGAAGAGTACTAGTGTAAGCATTAGTATTGCTGGAAATGAAATGAACGTTTACCTGGTCAGCGAAAAAGACCGGAAATTAACAACAGACTTACGCTAGAAAGCTGTTCATATTGAGCAGCTAAGGCTGGGGCGACAGAATTAGTTAATTTAGAGAAGTTAAGTGAAGTAGGTTGCAACGTTCAAGTGAGGATAAACATAAAACACATGTAAAAGCAACAGCGATGGCCGATTAAGCCGTTATTATTAGAGATTACTAAAGACTTAGAATCCACCCAGTAAAAATTTACAGACGTGACAGCTTCTGATTTGGATTACCAGAAGCTGGAGCGACTCTAAATATTGTTGGGGCATGCAATACAAGACATGGGTTATGAAACTCAACGAGAGTGCACGAAAAAAAACTGATATTCACTTTAGAGGACTCCACCTGTTTGCAAGCCTTCTGGTGCTGCCTGAAGAGATGGTCGAAGATGGCCCCGTATTCCTCGTGGATCCTCTGCATCTCGTTGATGTGCTCAGCTACCTTCTCCATCACCATTAACGCTTCTGCACACACAACACAACATATGAACATTTATGAGCATATTTATGATCTGCGAGCATTGCGGCATCAAAGAAATATGGTGTGTAACAATGCGTTCAATTACGCATTGTTAAATTTATTTGATTTGCAGTGTCTTACTTATTTACTATTCACCATTATTATTTACTACTTATTTCAGGTCTTACTTATTTAATATTCATATAAGACGTGCACAGATAAGCAACTCTGACAGCAGCAACTCGATTAGAAAACAACAATTCAAAAGAATGAAGTGAAATTTATAAAATTTAGAACACTTTTAAAATCAATCTACCGGCTAACATATCGAAATAAGCTTTGGCTTCTAGTGAATCGCCAGAATTACGACTGACACGAGTTAGACTGTAAAAAAGTGAGCTCTATTTCTTAAAACGAATTGAAATGAGTTTACTAAAACTACTCGTTCGTAACAGTTTACTAGAAGTCTCACTAAAGCTGCCAAAGCGCTAAAACGTCGAAGTGGTGCTAAACACCTGTTTTTTAAGTGGAATCCAGAGCGAGATGCACCTTTTCAGAATAGTACGAGTTTATTATAAAAATGTGAAATAAGATTCTGTCCGATTCTTGAACTAATCTGCGAAACCCAAGTGTGCAGAAAGGCTGATTGGAATGGGTGAAAAGTCTAACTAAACATAATTGAGAGAAATGACAGATACGACATGAGCGAAAGACGAAGGTAGCATATATTCGAGCACGAGGCTGCTTGTCTTCAGCGTTGAGATATTAATAGAGACTACCGGTGCATAAAAAATATTGATATGTGTGGTCGCGGTGCCATGAATATCATACAGGCAGGAGGAAGAGAGCGACATTATAAGCAATGGTAAGGGCAATACAGGCCTGCTTATGGGAGGACATGAGCTTAAAAGTTTCGTGTAGAATTAAAATTATGTGGAAATAAATAAACTTGTCGATCAATCTCAAAGAGGCTTGAAATTTTTAAAAGGAAATTAAAATAGTTAATTGGCGCTCAAAAATTGAAGTATCATTCATTGTGCATCACATAAAAAATTAAAAAAATTTTGATACATCTTGAAAAATAAAATATCTTGAAAATTAGAGACAAAAAAATCTCGGTTCCAAGCAAACAAAGCCCGAGAACACCAGAGGGATAAATTAATTTAGCGTGATCAGGAAAACTCAATTCAGTAGCTGATCGCGAAACTCGGTTCAAAGATGTGGTACGACAAACCCTGGGCTTAGACTACAAAAGAAATAGGCTAACTATGCAGGCAGAAAAGTCTCACCAACGAGGTGTCTGTTCTCGTCAGTGCCAGGATCCGTGAGGTTCTTGAGCTGCTGTAGGAGGAGCGGATACTTGAGGATGCGCTGGATGGGCTTGATGAGGTAGGACTCGAGGGTCGCCGAGTGCTGCTGACGCGGGTTACGTGACGCCAAGAACTCCTGCAGCGCCTGATTGCCTTCGCCTGCAGAGGTGAGAAGAGCCTGAGCACATTTCAAGTTTTACAGCGAGTCCCAAGTTAAATGAATTTAAAACCACGCTGTTTTTCGGTGCTTCACTGAGCACGATGAGAAAACTTCTTATAATTATGGGCAATTTTGAGCGTCCTTTTGTAATTAAAATTTCATTACCCAAAGGATAGTGGTCTTATTTGCACCTTCCATGAAACAGCAAATAAAGGTTTTTCAGGTAACGATTTCAAAATAACTTTTTGTTTTAACCGAAGCAAAACACTATTACTTAGAAGCTAACAACAATTTTAATCGACCGAACCGAAAAAATGCAGCCTCGTTCAACTCGCGCGAAACACACTGTATTGTTAGTCGCTCGAAAGGAAACGCTTTAAGGCTTTCCGTTAGGCGCATTTGGCCACACATTCGCCGCTGGAAACACTCAAGAAACAATAGAGATACCAACACATTTTTTTACACCGGAGGCAAGTAATTAACGCAAATGAGCGGCTGTTTAGGGACAGTTAGACTGCTGTGGTCGACGCCGCTGCGTGTTTCAAGACGTGCTGGGGGCACCCTACTGAAAATTATAGCAATGGAGTCGACTAATTTGCAGTGATTCATCGACCATAAATTAACTATTCCCGGCTTCATATGGCATAAACGGCGTCGCCCATGGAGAACTTAGTCTAGACAAATGCGTAGTGTACAAGCAGATGTTGAATACAAAGGGATGAGAAAGCAATACGAAGCTTATTCGTCCTGGTACAACATAAGAAATTACGATAAAACTAAAATTATTTTCTACTCTCTCGTCAACATATTCTGATTACTCACTGGGATGCAGAACTTTTTGAGCTTTTGAGTGCGAGGCGCAGAATGAAGAGTAAAGCTTGAACTGCGACGCGTAGTACAGGAAGGCGCTGGCGATGGACACCAGCACGTTCTGCGCGATCATATAACAAATGCCGAGCATTACGTGAATGTCATGGTTGCGGCTCAGCTGTCAGCAATACTCGAATATATAAACGTGAATCTTGTTTGGGGAGAACACTTTTCTATTTGGAAAAGTAAAACCTATACCGTCTTCGGAGATAATAATCAAACCCGGAATCGTCTTTGGAGTAAATCACCAAAACCGGTATCGTCATTGAAGGACATCACCAAACCCGGGATCGTCTTTGGAGCATGTCACCAAAACCGGTATCGTATTCAAATGACTAAATCGTTTTATCGATAGCTTATCCCTTTGTAACAATTTGCGTCACAATTATTCACTGGTTTTAACTTCAGTATCCATAATATTTCCCTGACAGAGAAGATGCGAGTTTCCGATACCCTTGCCTGTCTAGTCCTGCAATCTCAGACGCTGATAAATCGACGGCACTTGCATTAAATTTCGGAACTGGTCCCCTGTGCATCAAATTTATCGTATTCGAGAAAATCATCCACGTCTTCCATCTAATCCCTAATATAATTAATTATAATAATTTCGTCAATTAAATATGTAGTGGATTGAAAATGCTCATAGTACTATAATATATACTAGAGACAGCTCGGCGTAATTGGCATGACTGACGTTTCTGCGGTACATGTCATACGGCCGATGGTATATTATATATGATGTCCATTGTTGCCTTATGATTTGTGACAAAGTTGAAAATGAAGACATGACTACACGGGAAAATCTTTCTTAGGCATGAGAGAGTGGCAACGTAGGGATTAGATAGAGTGCAGCCCATAGCAAATGTAGGGATAAGATAGAGAGGTAAGTGGTACACAGTGCAAGTCTGTTGCACAAGATTTGAGGGCTGCACACTTCGCTACTTAACTCTTATAAGAGGATTTATGAAGTCACCAATACCCAACATCCCAAATGAAGTGTATATAAATGATCATAAAAATGAAATATTTCACTTTCAATACATGATGGACTCAAAGCAATTTCAGCTTCCAAGTTATAAAAATTTACTTTCATCAACATTTAGTACGGTGGCAACGATGCGAAATTTGTATATGAGCTCCAACACATGAACGATGTTATGCGTGTTGTTTTTGATTGAATGCGAATCAATGTGATAATAAGAATACCTTTCGGCTGGAGCAAAAGTTTAATAACGGAACATGAGATCTTTACGACCATAAGCATACTGTTGTTGCAAGCAACTCTGCATGTGCTGGGTTTCTAAATGAAATATATGTGAATGAGAAGTACACGTACAGGTTCCTGCTAGTATGAATTGCAAGGCAAGACGCGCGACCAAATCGATTACGGTACATTCAGAAAAAATGTAGACGAATAAAAATTGTAAGAGGTCGATTGAAGCCACGTGTAGAACTCCACTATAAACGATCTAATCTAAAATTTATTCATAGATGACTTGCAGGCAATGACATGGGCGAAAAACTTTCGCTACGAAGGGTTGATTTGGTAAATTAACGTTGTTTTTTTTTTTAAAACGCTTGAAACGATAATGTTCTCACTCGGAAATGCCATTCAGAGATGAGAAGTATGACTCGAAACTTGGTCGTGATAGAAATATATTTATTTTAAGTGAATTTTTCGTAACAAAGGGAAACAACTTTTAGATGAGGAAATTAAAAATTAGTATCAGATGAGATGGATAAAGGAAACCGAACCTTAAACTCGTAGGGCTGATCGAACTTCTGGAAGTCGGGCTCGATATCTATGGCCTCTCTGAGTGCCTGCAAAAAGAGCCTCTGGAAGGCCACTATTTCCCTGATATTGCCGAAGAGCGCCGTGACTTCGGCTGAGGTCAGGAAGGAGGCGTTACGGAGAGGCTCTAAGTAGTTCTCCAGCAGATTGTTTAGGTGCTGAAATGAAGGGAAACAAACATCGTAATATACACAGGAAAAATAATCAAAAGCAAGTCAGCTCACGAGCATAAGCACACAAAAGAAGGGAACAAGTTATTTCAAATAGGATGACGATGAAATTATAACGGATCATAAATATGATCTTGCTATGAATTTTCAACGCTTTCTTGCCTTTATATAATTTCAAACACAAAAATTCCAAATAGCAATTAAACCACAGAATTTGTCTTTTTGGATAAATAAAATCTTCCTGCGATGCAGGCCTCGAAGTTTCGGTAGAAGCAATTTGGCATCGACATTCTCCATGTGGACCCGTTGCAAAACGCAGGTTCTACAGACAAAATTCAGAATCAGCCTTCAATTCACCAATGAATCGCTAACGATTGATCGGTGTTAGCGATGACTTTATTTTTATGCAATCATGCTACGCAGCAAGAAGTAGAGGCACCACTATAAGCCATCAATTGAGGTAACGCGTGAAGAATGTGAGGGCGCGAGACGCCGCCGTGCAAGAGCCTAATTTAGTGACGCTTACCTGCAACCAGGTCAAGGGAGCCAAGCTTCGCCGCTTCGTACAAATTCAACAAAACATCGAGAGACTCGATGAATGGATTTTAGCGTATAAATATATCGTGTAACTTAGCTGCAGTATTAATGCAAACAGTAATGATCACTTAATTGGATCAACCTTCACCTCGACAATGTAAGATAAGTAGGTGGCACGAATTATTCACGAGTAAACTTGAATGTTAAACCATTTATGTACTAAATTTAATACGATCCCATGTTCTTATTCAATGAATGATAGACCTGCAGACAATACTCGCAATAAACGAAATATTAGTGAGACACAGGCGAAGCTTTCAAGCATAAGAGTTTGCATGGAAGAAAAGCGCACATTGATGAAAAACGTAATATAATAAAGACACAGGCACAGTGACGTGTTCATAGATTACATTATTAAATTAGGATCTTACCAATGAGGCAGTTATTGTGGTGGAATAATCTTATGTAAATTTTTCCATTTTGCGACATCAAAAAGCAAAAAAAAAAATATAATTATAAGTTGAAACATCAATTAACTGAAGAAAGAAAGCTGAGATTTTCTTTCAATTAATTTTCAGCTACCTTTATTCTGGAACAAACTTTATTTAATTTTTCTAGAAATTATAAATTTCTGTGTATTTGGAACCAAGCAGCAAAAACTCAAGTGTCATTTGCGCTCTGCTTGACTTCACCGCCAATTCTTGGCCGGAAGTAGGAGGCCTCTCTTTGTTCCTTAAAAATGCACGACAAAGCAGCGTTCACAGTGCATGAATGAGGCAACCAAGTGGCGTTCATTCTTATTCACAATTCGTATTGTGGCTGATGCCAGAGTTCAAGTAATCCCTAATAAATACACAATCTGAAGTTTGTTAGTGAAGAAATATTCCTTCAAATATCACACAAAATTGCATGATCTTAATTTAAAAACAGCCATAACAGCATAACAATATGAAATTTTATGGATTCTTGGAGGTGAACGTCAGTACCTTGTGTCGACGTGAAGAGTAAAATAAGGAACATTACCTTTAAAACGTTACTGCATCCAAAGACGTACTCGCATCACAAGACGTGCTCGTATCACAAGACGTGCTCGTATCACAAGACGTGCTCGTATCACAAGACGTGCTCGTATCACAAGACGTGCAATATCATTTGAAACAATAATGATGAGCAATTCAAGTCTTGCCGTGATTGCTGAATTCTCTTAATGGTATTAACAAGGCGATAAGCAACAAAGCAGAGACACAGCGAAAGTGTTTGGTGAATGGCGGAAGACCGCAAACACACAACCATCGCACGATTAAATCGACGTAAAAAACATAGCGTTCATCACAACCCTTCCTCGCGTCGCTATCCATACGCTCCTTAAATGGTAAGCACAATCCTCGCTTGTAACGCACCTTTGCTTCTTAATAAATAAGAAATGAGAAATTATTTTCTGAAGTCTGCGCAAGTATTTTATGAGACATGAAAATTAGTTAGAGTAGCTAAAGCAAAAAAAAAAAAAAAAAATGCAAGTGAAAGATAACCAAAGCACAGTTGTACTCGTGGAAAATTTGTACTCGCGAAAAGAACACTAAGATTTACCAATAAAAAATGTTTCTATAACATCAAGTAGCTGAGAAGATTTTTATGGAAGAAGAAGACGATGCAAGAAAATGTTGTAGAAAGAACAGCTCTGTTGATCAGAAATTTTGTCTGGCGAAGCTGCGCCCTGAGGCAGAGCGTGACGGCGCATAAGCTAAGGCGTTGAGGTGAGAGCTGCATTATATTATGCCACGCGACGCTTCAATTATGCATTATATTATGCCACAGTGCCACTGCATTATATTATGCCACGCGACGCTTCAATTATGCTGTGCAACGCGCAACAAATAACAGCGCATGGAGCCTGCTAACCCACATACAGATGAAAATTATAGGAGTGATAGAGCCGGCCAGGGATGATTTTTGACAAGCTACTAGCGAAACAAGATCCTCAGTCATAATTAAAGGCTTATTTAAACTATAAGGCGTAATTAACACTTCACCACACTTGAGAAAGTTAAAATGTAGTAGAATTAGGAACAGTAACATTTAGGGCAACCAAATAAAATAAAAATAAATCAATACTGCTGCCGATTGCTCTCACGTGATCGTCTGCACATACAAGGCCAACGGTGACTTAACGAACACTCTATATTAGCTGTGGCTAAATGTATTCTCTTAGAAAATATAAAAATTAACACCGTGGTAACTGTCCTATTTGTGACACCGACCTTGACATATTAACGAACTCACTCTATTGGCTGTGGCGAAATGTATTCTCTTAGAAAATATAAAAATTAACTCGCTGTAACTGTCCTATTTGTGACACTGACCTTGACATAGCTGGCTTCGGTCTCGACAAGTTCGGCGAGAACTTTGCGAAGCCTCTCAGCGTGCGAGAGCTGACGAGAGGGCGTGAGCTGACTCTGCGAGTGGCTGGAGGCAAGGCTCCCTGTGGGGGAGTTGCGGTCCATGGGGACAGCCCCTCCACCCACGCTTCCTCCACCTGTAACGAGCAAAATAATATTCCTTGAAAAATAATAATCAACATACTCGCACTTCATAAACACTCAAAAATATTTATAAAATAATCGGGTCGGCATTTCAACACTGTTGGATCTCACAAAAAAAAAAAAAAAAATCGAGAGCGGCCGAGAAAAAAAATTATATTAGTTTATTCTTTGTAAAAAAGTGAGAAAAGACGAGAAAAACGAAAAACTGATTTTAGTTTAATTGTTTAGGTAGTTTTTACCTGCAGAGCTACGTCGCTCCATGTTGCTGCCGGTGCTGGCCCGGTCTGTGTGGCCCAGCATGGTCTTCATGCCCCCACCGCGGTCCATGTCACGCTCCACATGTCCCCCCATGGGCCCACCGCCGTGCCCCTCCCGGCGGGTGTCGATGGGTGACCTCGAGCAGCCGCTCAGGTCGCTCGTGTTACCGCCAGTACCAGCCTGAGTTAGCGTTGATGATTATTTAATAAAATTCACGGTAGATTTTTAGAGGATTCAAAATAAATTATCTTAATTTGCTATTTTGGGAGCATACAAGTTTTGAAATTGAAACGAGACAGGCTTGCCATTTATGAGGAAGATTACCCAGCGATTCACGAGCGTGGGACACAATAAGTACACAAACAATAGGACTTTAGAATAACGTATGCATTTTTAGGGCTAATTTATTTATTGCCGATTGAAGAAACATGTCAAGGTAAGATGTATCCAGAAAAAAATGGCGAAGCAAAACAAAGTCAGACGCTAGCAGAGACCTCGAACTTTCTGAATGCAATCCCCCTGATGAACGTTGAATGAAACCGTATTTTTAGGGTGCAAGTTTGCAGCAGCTGTGATAGGATCTCAAGGTAGAAACTGTAAACTGTGATATGCGGGGAATGCACTCGATAAATTCCGGAGTCATTTTACCAGCGCCCTAAAAGATGACATGGCCAACAATGGCAATGGCACGCAGCGGCTCGACGCAGCTGGTGTTTTGTGACACCGCCGATATACGGATTATCGCTAGCGAGCTAACCGAGCAAGGGTTTAGCGCCCTCACTCAACGGTCACAGTCAATATATTTCCTCGCTCATGATAAATTAATGAAAAGGTTGCTTCCAACGAACCTACTCTCACCAATAGATAAGAGTCACAACAACTGAATAGTGTGTGAGTTTTCTACATGCCACATAAAACGTTTGCCGACAGCATCTTATATACGTCAAACGCATGGCAGCAAATTCAAGTTAGCTCATGAAAGTAAAAAGTGAAACATGAATTAATTCAACAGAATTTAATTTCAAATTTCAAATTGAGTAAGTTATGTGCATAAACTGTACATATTGGTCGCCTGAAATATAATATAGGTATGTAACAGTGTGCAAACGAGAACTGGAAAAACAATGAATTACGAGCATCACGCGAAATTAAACAAGATTGCAAGCGTGAAGTCTCCTTTCACATAGAAAGCGAAAATTAGCGACTGCAACTAATGGATTTATCCATCGAATAGATAAACGAGGTGGGTGCCGTCATCGACAACAACGATCAACATGATGGACAATGTTGATCTACTGCAACAGAAAGCAATGAAAGCAGTGCGTGAAAGATCGTAAATGAACTTCGACACAACAGCCTCCGCACTTTTTAAAACCGACTAATTTAAACTCTCCAGCGAGCATTGTTCCCTTTCTATTTCTTTGTACATGTAATCTATGGAAATGGTTTCATGGCAACCGTTTGTAGGGTCAAGCAGGAGATTGATTCTTAATTGAGTTAGTTGTAATAGCAAAAGAAGGAGCCTAACGACGCTGCTGTAAGACAGAAAGTTGGATTACATGGAGACGGTTAGTAAGAATCGGCGACAGGCCACATCAGGCCTACACTTCATCGCCGACATCACTATGTCCCAGTGAAAATTTACAGACGCGGCAGCTTCTGATTTGGATTACCAGAAGCTAGGGAGACTCTAAATTTTGTTAGGGGTTATGCTATGCTAGTCAGTCCTGCACCAGATGCAGGCAGCCTCACTATAGAGGAGACCGATCCATGTAACGGTGCGTTTGATAGCCGGACGCTGCGTTGAGTATATGTCGGGGCGGCGTCTTCCATCAATTGGTCTAACGTTCTCATGTCATATTCTGTCATAGAACGATGAGATGATCAATTTTAAAAGCAGTATTTACCAAGAATTTTTTTAGTGTTATTTATTTAGAATAAAGAGTGAAGAATGGCTAAGCGATTAGTACGGTACTAGACATACATATTGTCTTCATATTACTCCTTGATGGACTGAAAAGAACACCTTTTCTTTAAGAGCCTTGGCCGATGTATATTTTACATAATTTCATGTTGAAAAAATTCTAGTACTGATAGCAGAACCCAAGAAAGCTTACATGAAATAACGCGTAACGCGAGTAAGCGAATTATTTTCCTGCAGAGCATGAAAAAAAAACTCCTGAGAATTTTATTTTTTGATTTTAATTTAACACACTGATTAAACAAGAGCATGCCACTGAAGCGCGCCTGTCTACGTGGGAGATTTAAACAGACGTTAATTTAGGTCGTTTGGTTGGGGCTTAAAAAAGGCGACTCGAATGCCAGCAGCCGTGGCAGACGTTCACATCATAGAAGAAATCTAAACAAACGAGCTACTCGCAGCGACTGAGATAATAAACTAGCGTGTGAAATACAGCGGTACTTATGACATTGAACGTCACTGAGTAGCGTCATATCAACAAGCTGAGGTGCTCCATGAAAAGCCGTTCACGAGCTCGAGCAGCAGCAATACTGTGTGGAGCTTGACTTATATAAACAAGTATACGAGCTAGCATTCTCAGTTAATATCAACCAAAAGCTGTCGCCAGTTTATACACCGAAAATTCGACGCCGGGCTTTATATTCCACTAAACTTAAACATAAAAACAGGTGCAAATTTTTGATACATGGCGTATGCGAATAATAAAACGAAGTAAAGTAAACAGCTTCCTGCGTACTGAATTGAGTAATTTAATTCTATACGACAAATTAGATCTGTTGCACGAAATAATTAACCTCATCGCTATTATAACTCTACCTTGGGGCCTGTTGGGCTTTTTTGTACGAAGGCAAATGAGCATTAGCGCGCGTGACGTGCCACGATCGTAAGGAACACAATTGTACCCACGAAGGCGCAGCCTTCATTGCTCCGCACGCATGTGAAGGTCAGCTGATCGCAGCGTAAGGGCACCCACGAGTTACATCACAGCCGCACCAAGGCGCTCGTATCAGCCATTGTTGGCACTCCGTCGATTGCTGGAACAATGCCCTAATACGCAGTCAATGCAGTAAGGAAACCTCATGTGAAAATTGCGAAATGATATAGTGTCGCAAGCGAAATCAATTGACATTTGCCGATATGAAGGTAATTGCAGTACTAGATGAACATAGTGCAGACCAATCAAAGTTTACTGCAAGGGTTTTACACGAAACTGTCCAAACTTGACTAGCACTTTTTTTAAAATGAAGCAGTCGTGTTCTAATTTTATCGCATATTGAGTACAGGGAAAATGAAGAAGATGTGTAAAATGACAAATGAAACGGAGTAAAACTTAAATGATATTACATTTTCAAGACATATAAGATCCAATACCTGCATATTAAATAATACAATAACATCAAGATATACAACCCGAACAAACCAGACGGGAAAAAAACGAAACGAGACGAAGAAGGCTTTCATGATCATGGAACTTGACAGCACAATGACAACGGCAGCAGTGACAGTGGCAGCACAATGACAACGGCAGCAGTGACAGTGGCAGCACAATGACAACGGCAGCAGTGACAGTGGCAGCACAATGACAACGGCAGCAGTGACAGTGGCAGCACAATGATAACGGCAGCAGTGACAGTGGCAACACAATGACAACGGCAGCAGTGGCAGCAGAGGCAATGGCAGCACAATCACACGGCAGCAGTGGCAATGGCAGCACAATCACACGGCAGCACAATCACACGGCAGCAGTGGCAATGGCAGCACAATCACACGGCAGCAGTGGCAATGGCAACACAATCACACGGCAGCAGTGGCAATGGCAGCACAATCACACGGCAGCAGTGGCAATGGCAACACAATCACACGGCAGCAGTGGCAGTGGCAACACAATCACACGGCAGCAGTGGCAATGGCAACACAATGACACTGACAACAGTGGCAGCAGAGGCAGTGGCAATACAATCACACGGCAGCAGTGGCAGTGGCAACACAATCACACGGCAGCAGTGGCAACACAATCACACGGCAGCAGTGGCAGTGGCAACACAATCACACGGCAGCAGTGGCAGTCTAGCACCTTAAAGGTGCAGCCAGGCAGAGCAGCTTACCGGAATGGTTTGAATGGCAGGAAAATTGCGATAACAAAGCTTGCTCTAGTTTGCTTTGGCAACACGAAGCCGCACCACTCCTTCTATTTAGATCCAATGAAACGTGTGGAGTTTGGTCAAGAAAGAACTGAGTTCGACGAACAGATATAAAATTTGACCACTACTCGTGTTAACATCAAAATATCTTTGGGCACTATTGATTTGAATAATAATAAATCAAATGGAGATTTTAAAATCCGACTATGAATTCACATGATCAGACTAGGATGATACACAAAGTAGCCTGTATCACACACAGCACAAAGTGCACTGGCAGAGCACAGAGTGGCATAAGAGCAGCACAAGCACGTACACCGCACACCAGTACCCGCCTCAGCACACACTGCCCGGCACGGCAGGCGCGGGGTCCCCGCTCAGTCCGTGCCGCTCATGTCACGCCCCCGCTGTACATACATGAAACGCACCGCAGTGGTCATTGAATGATAAATATTCGGAGAGGCAAATATAGTAGTGGTCATTGAACGATAATCAGTGATCTTAATGATCTTCATTATTCTCTTAAATGATTTTAATTAGCGAACAATCTTTTGGCTTACAGGCGAATTATTTAATCACTTTGAAGAACATTCAGCTGAAACCACATTTATACCATAAACAGATACATAATCAATCATCAATAAAATATCTCGAGACTTTCAGCACCGTGGAATGACAGCGCGATAGCCAGACCGTGTTAACGATGCAAGTTGTTCGAGTATTCGATCCCTGCAGCGCGGGCTTCATTACGAGCCTTAGCCGCCATGCTGCGTGTGATGGAAGACCTTTGATGAGCTGCACGGCCCAGCAAGCAGTCTCCGTACGGTACTATATAAGCCTGCTATTATATGCCAATGCCTTATAGGTGAAGCCGTCTTATGTACATGTAAAAATAAGCACGTTCTTGTGCTGGATTCAAACGAGTTCATCATGAAGATATTAACGGGACTCGGTAAAAGTAGAATCAAGCCTCATCTGCTAGTAATAGGCAGGCTGAATGAGTAAAAATTTTTATAATTATGCTTTGCCGTCCTTCAGTTGCATATGCGATTATAAAT